AGACTTTTTTTCTTCCTAGTACTCTACCCTATAAATAAAAAATGAAAAAAATTTAAATCCTTTAAATTACTATTCATTAAGTCTCAAAATTTCACGGTGATAGTGTCAAAAATGAGAGTGCTGCGCTAGGACAACAAACTACAAGGGGGGGGGGCGCCAAAAGCCCCCCCCCCCAGCCTATTTAGAGTTAAGTGATTAATTATTAGGCATGGTTCAATTTTGAAAAAAGTTTATAATTGATAAGTTTTTTTTCTCCTTCATGAATGCCTTTTACATGCAATCACAAGTTGTCGTCCAATTTTCGAGTCTAAAAACTATGCAATTTTTTTTTAAATAAAAGTTCTATTTACCGCCCCTAACCCTACAAAAGTTACAGTTTCGTCATAGTACAGGCTTGGTAAATGTCTGAATAATTGATATATTTATCTAAAAACGATTTAAGAAATATTATTGATTGAATTTTATAAATGAACATTACTATCATATTTAGCTCTAATGAAGGGAGAATTAATTTTTTATTCCATATAATTTTCTTGCTAATTTTTCTTGCTAATTTTTCTTGCAAGAGACTGCAAATAATTTCTAAGTTTATTTTAGAGGACTGAAATTCAATGAATAAAAAGAATTTTTGTTATAAATATTTTTTTTTAAATATCCTCCTGTATTCCAGTTTACAATAATTTAGTTTTCTTGGGCCGCTTGAAATAAAGGCACTAATGTCCCCCTCCCCCTCCTTATTTCACTCAGATGAGGGGGGGGGGTGATGGACTGCCACCCCGAAACCGCCCTCACTAAGAAAAGCTGCTAGATCTCACCTTGCAAAAAACGATGAGAATTACTTCTAAAACTAAACAAAAAAAACACTTAAAAGTTCTAAAATGTTTAAATGTTTAGGGCTACACAAAAGTGTACATGCAGTAGTAAAAAAATATGAAAAAGCAGTATGTATAACTATGCAGCTCATACAAATAAAAATTTGAAAGAGCAGCATGTATAACTATGCAGCTCATACAATAAAGAAAATAAACTAAAATAAGTAAAATGATTAACTTTTTAAATAAAGAAGTTTTACTTATATTGGTACAGGCTTACACACAAAGGATGAGACTGTAAAAGCGACAAGAAACTAATTAAATTTAACAATTCCAGGTTAAAATTAAGTTTCTTCGATAATATTCTGTGAATGGCACTTTAATGTTTTGGCAAAGAAAGAAAGAAGTTAAAAGTTGCAGAGAGTAATGAATTTAAGGATACAGAGAGTAATGAATTTAAGGATACAGAGAGTAATGAATTTAAGGATACAAAGAGTAATGAATTTAAGGATACAGAGAGTAATGAATTTAAGGATACATGAATTCCATACACTTGTCTCTAAACTATCATCCTTTGTGGATAACCCTGTATGTGTATTATGTGTATTATGTGGATAACCCTGTATATGTATTATGTTAGTGAATGTTTTTTTTCTGAAAATACTTTTGTAACATTTCAAAAAAAGATATAGTTAAGTGGTTATCTATAACCTTTCTGTATTTTGTTTACGACCAAATAAACACGTTGAAATATAAAAGTTTTTTTTTCAACAATTGCACTGCTAATTTTGAATTAAATATGTTGAAATATAAAAGTTATTTTGCAACAATTGCACTGCTAGTTTTGAATAAAACATGTTGAAATATAAAAGTTTTTTTTTCAACAATTGCACTGCTAGTTTTGAAAAAAAAATTGCATTGTTAATTTTGAAATAAATAGCACTGTCAATTTTGAAATAAATAGCACTGTCAATTTTGAAATAAATTGTGCCACTTTCTAGCCCAATAATATATTGAGATCAAATAAAGTCAAATCAATTCAAAAGTTGCGAGCTCTCACAAAAATAATCTTTACAATTTTTTTCAATCAATTTTAAAAATTAAAAGGCCAAGGCAACACTTCCAAGTCGTTCCAGTCTCTAAAATTTGTTCTGAATCTGTGTGGAGTTTGTATACAAATAATAGATATGTTGGTATTGTGTGGATCGTTGTCACCATGGTCCATGAAGCAAGGAAATTCAATTCGGATTTTCAGCTCATTAGTAAGCAAGCTCTTAACTTTCTTGTAATTTAGAAACAGATTAGATAAAAAGTTTATCATCCAATGCAAACCCTTTCTTGCACTTGAAACCCAAGGTAACAGGAAAAAGTTAGTTTTGAATAAATTCATCGTCCATGGACAGTTGAATATAAGGGGTAAATACTTACCATGCATGGAAAGTTCCGGTTTTACAAGAACTTTAAAATACAAGAATGAATTATTTATATGTTAAAGGATTCGATGATTACGTAATAACTGAAATGATAAATATGTTATGTAATAAGTTATGATCAATGTTGCATATTTGTGCAAAATTTTGCATATTTTTCTTTTTTCTTTTGTAAAACTATATATTCAAATTATTTAAACAAATTTAAACTACACCATTTATATATTTATTTATATATTTGTGTGTGAATACATCTTTATAATAAAAATAATAAACATAAAATAAAGCCTCCCCCCCGACCCCTGCTTATGATAATGACATAATCCTTCCACCAAACGCTTAGAAACCTCCCCCCCCCCCCATCGAAACTTTTGATGATATTTTCACTAACGAACCTGATGATTGGTAAATGTTAAGGACTATATTTTTCAAAGAATTTGTTCTTATATTTTCTTCAAAAAAATGGCTGTATATATATACCGCCATTCAGAAAGTTTTTGTAAAATGTATTTTTATTTCTCATAGTTTAATATATATAGTACTAGCTGAAGAAAATTTTAAGAAAAAAATGTCATTTAAAGAAAAATTCAATATTTGTTTAGCTTATGTTGCCCACAGGCTACCCAAAAGTCTCGACAAAAAAGGTCAGCCCATTCGGTCCAGCCGTTTGGCAAAATACAGGAAACATATAGATAGATATCTACTTTTACTGTTAAACCGTCGGCTATCCTCCCCCATAGAAATTTAGACAGTCATGAATTAATGAAAAATTGCATCAATTTTAAGGACTATTTCAGTTTAAAAGTTTTCCAACACCTTGGCCTGTGGATTGTCGTCACTAATTTATTCATAATTTGTGTAGCCCTGGACCACGCAGATTTAGCTGATCGGTCCTTGTCCAGGCAAGTACAGCAGTAGTACAACTTTTAGTTGTAGTTTACAAAACTACTGATTTTTACCTGCACACAGACTCTGATTTTCTAATCCTTATATCTTTGCAACTCGATCTTGCAGACTTTAGGTATTTCAAATTATGAATTCTGGACGAAAATCTAAGTTTATAATATCAAAGATTTATAGTACAGCATCAGGTTAAAAAAAATATAGGGATTAGACAGTTTGAGTTTGTGGCATGAAGAGTCAATTTCTTTGCAAAATTCTCATAGATTTAAACGAACCTTGGATCAATGTGCTTCTTGATCCTCTAATTCCTTCAAAATCCAAGCCGACCCTTCCCCCCCCCCCAACCCCCTCCTCCCCTTTCAGGCGTTAAAAACTTGTATTTCCTTTCTCTCTGAAATGGTATACCAAGGTATATATATGAATGTTAATGATTAAAGGAAAAATAAAAACCGTTCAAATGACTAATTGTAGATAACCCTATAATTGAAGGAAGGAATGGATCTTTAATACTAGGTTTCAATACCTCACTTTACTGCAATATAAAAGGAATGCTTCTAGAACACTTAATACCTAAATAAATAAAACTTTTAATTATTTCTTTAATTTTTTTGTCAGTTTTATTCCAGTACACGCCTTAACAGGAGCTGAGATTTTGCTACAAACTCGGATTTTCAAAACCTTATGTTATGTATCTAAGAATAAGATATTCAGAACTATGAATTCTGTTAGATCAAATAATCAAAGTGTAAATATCAAAGGTTTACACCATCCGGATGCAAAGATGTAAGGAATGTAAAATTCAAGTTTGTGGCAAAGTCTCAATTTCTTTAGCAAAATACTGATGGACAATTATTCTTAAAATCAACATTTTAATTATAACTTTTAAAGGTTTACACAAATCAAAAAACTTTGTTTTTTAACTTTATATATTTTCTTATGTTTCGTCTGGATTATAGATAATATTTGAGAGCTAAATTTATGAGCCCAGTTCATTAAGAATTGACTTGCATTATAATTTTTGACACAAACTAAAATTTTCTTAGCCATTTATTTGTGTATTTGTGTATTTGTATAACTTTGGGTTGCAAAGATTTAGTGATTAGAAAATCAGGGTTTGTGGCAAAAACTGAATTCATTTAAAGGTCAATGCATAATTTTCAATTGTTAGCCGAAATCTGTCAGACATTAGCATTTACGAGAAATATGTAACTTGAATTGTACATTTAGATCAATGGATATACATTATGTATACAATAAATACGTCAACGAAATAGTAACCTTTAGAAAATACCAGAAACCACAATTGAAAGCTAAAAGTTTTCAAAAAGAAAAGATGGATATCTTATGTTTACTTGATCAGAAAAAGCTTATATAAGGGTACCGTTGTGAATCGAAGAAATAAAAAGGAACTTGAAATGTATGTCCCTTTAAGCGTAGAAAAGTGTATTAGATTTATATGACTGTTTTTATTTATTATTTGTTGAGAATTTATCTTTCAATGTATAAATCAGAGAACAATGAACCTTGACCAACATTACATTTATCATTCCCTTCAGATAGATTTCACCAACCATAAAAAGCGAGAAAAAAAAATATTACTTTTCCAAATTAGATAAAAACAATTAACTTATATTATCCATTGACCTTTTCATGTTTCATTAAAACTAATAGAAACGATTAAAAGAACATTTTTTAAAAGGATAAACCCTCGTCATTGCTTTCAAGTTTATTTTAGTTTCTAGAGATAAATTAAAATATGTACACTGTACAGTACAGCTAACTGAGCACACCGATAGAGAACTATCATCCCCCCTGCTTCAAACTCTAATTTTCAATTTTTCTATATTTCAGAAATTGTATAATAGATTACTAATGAGAAACCTGTTCATCTGTTTTTACCTGTTCTATTTTACAACATGTTTATCCAGCGACCTTACTCACACAGGTTAGAAAAAAACCCCAACGACTATAAAGTAAATCTTTAATTTAATAGAGAGCTGGATACTTTTGAATGAACAAACAGGGTTCAAAACTCATGAACGTTTTACGGATCTGGGTTTAGTTAAATTGACGAATATATCTTTAAGTTGTGATTTAATTCCAGATACAAAACAGACCTTAAGTAGATGATATTTTTCATTTTATCATTGTATTCAAATTATCCGATTTAAAAATATTATTTGAGTCATTTGTAGTTCTTTGGGTCATATGCGTAAATGGTTTTTTTATTTCTTTAAAGTTCTTCAGTATGAGTCGTTTTTAACGATTTTCTCCTTATAGACGCAACAGATAGAAGTAAGATTAGTAGCGATCAAAAGCGATTAATTTTGCGCCGTAAGCCTATGCCCCCTTTCATTTTTCACGAACACTCTTTGTGAGCAGAAAAAATAAGTCTTTATTGTTTTTTTTGTTATCTTTTAAGTTTTATTCAATATAACAATTAAAGATCAATAAATGTTTTCATTTTCACATAATTGTTTCTCTGAACTTATTATCAGAATCAGCCGTAATGTACCAAAATACTATATTTAATCCATAGTTTATTATAATTGTTTTCATTTTATTGCTACTAACTTTGATGAATTCTGTAAGAGTAAATATTGAAATATGATATTGAAATATCAAAGGTTTGCGCTGTTGGTTGCAAAGATAAATGAGTTTATTGACAGTTTGAATTTGTGACAGAAACTTAATTCCATTGAGATAATATTCTAAAAACGTTATGTTGAAAATGAATAATTTTGGACAATTTTTCCAATGCTTTAACACTAGAAGAAATATGTGGTTTAACATGTGCGTTAGAGAGTTTAATAATATCAGTTTAGAGAAACTAGAATAATGTTTTAGAAACTGCTTATAACTTTTAAAAGATTCCAGACGATTTTGTACAAATATATTTTGCTTTTATTTGCCATGCTTGCTTACAATGAATGCCAAAATGGAACCTGACAGAAAAATAAAAATATATTTCATAAAAAGGTTTAAAGAGTACCATTGTGAATCGTCTAGGCCTATCAAGGGTTGAAAATTATGACGTCGATAATCATCTACGAGTTTCCTACATCGTTTAATTTCGTTTTTCAACAATATATATTACACCACACATGTTTGCCGAGTCCATTAGCGCCTGATCCAATCAGGGTTCAGTCATGTGTTTGATGTCTATTCTGAACCAATCTATCTTTCTATCTATCTCATTATCCAATTAGAGATATGAATCCTTAATTCGGCACTAACAGTAAATGAAAAATATGTACTTCTCTACTAAAACTATAGTGACAAGTAAAAATAAACTTAATGGCTTGCTATCAGCTGATTTTTACTTTTTTAAACTCAAATGATAATGATATTTTAACAATAAACAATGTATTTATGTATCTATGTATATATATATATATATATATAAAAATGTATGCATCTTTGTATCTATGTAATAACTAAAGAACTTGTTGGTGAAGTATTTATGTGAATATTTAAATGCGTGGACACTCTTGGTTCCCATATTGTATCTATTCAAATATTATTTAAGTTTCTACTAAGTATAAACAATTTTGTTGTAAATTTTTACGTTTAATTCAGCATCCTACTTTATATGTTATAGTTTATTATGTTCTTCTTTAGATATTTCCATATTCACGATAAAAAAAATCAAAATATACATTTAGTTTTAACATGAAATAGTCCCCCCCCCCTAATACTAGGGGGCAATTTTGTAAATTGCTCTTACATATTTGAATTGATTTCAGATTTAACATTTTTATTCAAATGTATATAGTACCGTGTACACTGTACAGCAAATATACTTACTTTGAAATGAGGGAGAGGTTAAGAGAAAGAGAGAAGAATATATATTAGAGTGGAATTTTCTAGAAAAAAATGTAAAACGGCCATTTTCTTGTACTGTTTTTATACTACAGGTGTGCTCCACATATATGTGCTACATAACCTTTTGGGCCCTGGAACATCATATTGTAGAAAATCTAAAATTAATATTAAAAGAAAACCAAATTATGAAATAGGCTTGTTTCATAATTGACCAATGATCATTTCACATACAAACGATGATTTTCCGTTATAACTATAATTCAAATGATGTTTTTATTCACCTAATTCATTTTATAAAGTTTATTTAACAGCTTTAAAAAATTCGAAATTGAAATAGATAGTCTAGGGAACATACTGTATTAATGTACTCTACTGCATATAATTTGTGAACAATTACATAATTTGTACACTTTGAACTCACTTTCAGGCTGAAAGGGACTGACAAAATTCCGAGGGATTGTCTATAAATTCCACTCTAATATGTATTCTATTCTCTTTGGGTTAAGATGTATGGGTTCCGTCAAAAAGGTGTGACTAGCTTTGTCGTGCATCGAAAACTCTCAAAGATATGAGCTTCTTGATATTAAATTATACTTGGGTTGGAAATAATTGGTTATAGTTGTTTTGTTAAAAAATCCACAAAACTGTAAACGTTAACAAAATGATTTTATTTGGCAGACTTTTGAAATATCTGCAGAATTCGATATTGTTTCAGAAAGTATAAAGCCGAAATTTTACAAATGTATTTTTTCTTTTACATTTTTAATGAAACGTCCAAATTTGTTTTTATATTGTGGTGTCTTGTACATTGTGTTTATATTGTACATGGTATTGTAATTGTAATCTTTATAATTGTTTCTTAGCATTGAATAATAATAGAATATGAATATGTTTGGAAGCAAATTCTTCTAGTTTAAGGAAATTTCTTCAGAAAAAATACAATTATCATAGTTTTTCAGTTGATAAAAAGGAAACTATTCAAGACGTCAACACTTTTCAATTTATGATAAAATTCTGTGTTTGCATATCTAATATCTATACATGCTAGATATAGCTTACTAAACGGCTGAAAGGCTGCCCCTGGGATGACTTACCTATAGTTTCAGTAGAAGTAAATATTTCCATTTAGTGGATAGTGCTGCAATAAGGCTTCATATCTCTGATTGGATAATGAGATAGATAGAAAGATAGATGTTACCGCCATACTATTTCTACTATTGGTTTAGAATAGACACCAAACACATGACTGAACCCTGATTGGATCAGGTGCTAATGAACTTTTTAAAAAATTTTTAATTCAACGGGCAGCTCAAGGCACTGCAGTAAAAAGTATAATTTAATATCTAGCGCAGTAAAGAATCGGGGATAACTGTGACCATGAATAATGATATAAACATGGGTAATAAAGAACATTTTCCCGCCAAATAAAACCGAGAGAAAGATGACATTGCTAACGTACTATTCAGAAACTCTAATAGTCAATAATTCACATTCAACTTAAAGGGACTGTAAAGGAAAAATGAAAGGGGGTAAAGGCTGAAAGCTAATCACTTTAGCTCTCGCTCGCAACCCATAAAAATTATATCTGATGTTCCTATCTCGAGAAATTGATTTACAACTTTGTCAAATTTATACGAAAATTAATATATATACAATTTTGTATAAAAATAGTGGGTTTAAAAAGATCAAATTCAGAAAATATGCAACCAATCTGAAAACGATGATATCCCAGAGAAATCTAATTGTAACTTACGTTTACTCCAATTCTAATTTTATATTTGTTATTTCTATTTTTTATAGATTTAATTCATAATATTATTTATACATCTGTATTGCTTGACCAGAAATTCCACCAATGGCAGTGCATTAAAGTGGTCACGTGATACAGGCGGAGACATGTTACCAGTATACTGCTCTGCCATTGGTGATAGTTCTGGTCACGTGATTTAAGTTTAAGATTTTCTAAATTTTACATATATGAACTCTCGTATAATTTTAACACAGTTTTATAACAATTTCTCGAGACAGGAACCTCAGATAAAACTTTCATGGGTCACGATCAAGAGCTAAAGTGATTAGCTTTCAGCCTATTCCCCCTTTCATTTTTCCTTTACAGTCCCTTTAAAGCTGTAAACCTTTGATATTTTAGATCATGATATCAGGTTGTTTTGACTATGGGATATATATAAATATAGAAAATTGTAGTTGGCGATAGTTTTCGATGTTTTGATATATTTCTGAGAGAACTTAATTTTTTTCAAAAGATTTTTGACAAAATTACAAAAGAACAAAACAAGCATATTTTTTTTTTTAATGATTAAAAATAAAAATCGACATTTAGAATATGAAAATTAAAAATCAATTTTTGTTGTTGTTTTCTTAGGATCACAGAATCATTCTGATATTAGACACCAGCACCCCCATCCACCATCCCCCCCTCCCTCTCCTCGTCCTCATCCCCGTTCTTTCCGTGGTTTAGACGATCTTCATCATCCACCACATCCTCCTAAAGATCAGCCACCCCACCCTCAACTTCAAGATTCACATTTCCTTCCGTATCAGCAAACAAAGGAAGTTCTTATGGAACCTCATCTAGACCTGTACTATGGACAGAATATTACTGTTGAGGTTAGATTTTAAAGGCGGGATATAATATTTGATTTTACCCCCCCCCCCACCATCTACTAGTTCAAAAAAGCAGGGACGATTACAGTATTTTATATGAAAAACTATACAAATACAGACTTTTACACAAAATAGGCTAGTATTATATTTTTTGTCATGCGCCACAGTGGAACATGAAGAGTCTAGACAGTAAACACTTTTGCAAGTTTAGAATTTGAAAAAAATAAGATTGTTAATTACAATTGTCCATTTTCAAAAACAAAGAAATGTCGTTAAAATAAAGAAGTTCTAATACTTGGTCTGAAGTGACCATATGCAGATTGACTAGCAATTATATATTTTAAACTGGTTTAGGAGGGAGCTGTAGGAGAACTAGAGTGTAGAGTTTTTAATCTTGGGAACAGGTAAAGAATTATTTTGGTTCGCACCTATCAAGTCAAGCCTTTTTAGCTTATTTGTTGTTGCAAGCCTCTGCCTAAGCGAGAACCTTCAAGTTCACCAATCACGTATTTGGATATTAGATTCCAAAATACACGAAAATTAAATAAACTGGTTTTATCAGGACCAACCACGGAACAAATAAAAGAATTTCTTCTTGAAAGATTTTTTATTAAACAAATAAAAAGGAAGAATTTTTCCTAAAATCCATCTTTAAAAGTCTGAGCTCTTCAAGAATCATTCAAATCTAATTTCTTTCTCAAGTACATTCCAACCATAGCTAGGGGCTGAATTTTTTAATTTTCAAAAAAATACAGTTTAGATAATAATGAAGACGACGACAACACTATAAACTAGACTGAAGGGTGAATTTTATGTAACCCTTCTGGTTATCTTGTTTGAAAGCTATAATTGTGTCCCTATTGACATTCACAGCTGATAAGATTGTGCCCATTGGCTTGGCATTGATCATGTAAGAGCTTGTTTGATAGCTACACTTGTGTCTGTATTGACATTCACAGCTGATAAGATTGTGCCCATTGGTTTGGCATTGATCATGTAAGAGCTTGTTTGAAAGCTATAATTGTGTCCCTATTGACATTCACAGCTGATAAGATTGTGCCCATTGGATTGGCATTAATCACCTAAGAGCTTGTTTGATAGCTACACTTGTGTCTGTATTGACATTCAGAGCAGATATGATTGTGCCCATTGGCTTGGCATTGATCATATAATAGCTTTTTTTGATAGCTAGGCGTATGTCCATATTGACATTCAGAGCCAATAAGAGTGTGCCCATTGGTTTGGCTTTGATCATGTAAGAGCTTGTTTGATAGCTATGATTGTGTCCTATTGACATTCAGAGCTTATAAGATTATGCCCATTGGTTTGGCATTGATCATGTAAGAGCTTGTTTGATAGCTAGGCTTGTGTCCGTATTGACATTCAGAGCCAATAAGATTGTGCCCATTGGATTGGCATTAATCACCTAAGAGCTTGTTTGATAGCTACACTTGTGTCAGTATTGACATTCAGAGCAGATAAGATTGTTCCCATTGGCTTGGCATTGATCATGTAATAGCTTGTTTGATAGCTAGGCTTGTGTCCATATTGACATTCAGAGCCAATAAGAGTGTGCCCATTGGTTTGGCTTTAATCATGTAAGAGCTTGTTTGATAGCTATGATTGTGTCCTATTGACATTCAGAGCTGATAAGATTGTGCCCATTGGCTTGGCATTGATCATGTAAGAGCTTGTTTGATAGCTAGGCTTGTGTCCGTATTGACATTCAGAGCCAATAAGATTGTGCCCATTGGTTTGGCTTTGATCATGTAAGAGCTTGTTTGATAGCTATGATTTTGTCCTATTGACATTCAGTGCTGATAAGATTGTGCCCATTGGATTGGCATTAATCACCTAAGAGCTTGTTCGATAGCTACCCTTGTGTCTGTATTGACATTCAGTGCCGATAAGATCATGCCCGTTGGTTTAAGATTGATCGCTTAAGAGTTTTTGTTCTGGTTGACATTTATAGCTAACGAGTTGTACCTGGACTGATACAGTACTGGACGAAGTTCTAAGAGTTCGGCATTTACTATATGCCTGTGTTGTCGAGGCACTCCATTCCAACGGTCAAATAGACTTGTGAACTCAAACCAGTGCAAAAACCTGCCTTTAGGGTAATACTTGGTCGAGAATATAGAGAATATGGGTCTGTACTTGAAGGGTCTATTCTTGATACTCTAGTAATTCCACGACGAAAATTCCGAGAAATTTGAGTTTGTTGACAGCTAGTTGTTCGTGATTAGTAGATAAACATGTAAGGGATTTAACCAATATCACAAATTTGAAATGTATATCATATTTTATATATTTATTTATTTATAATGTTAAAATTCATATTTTCCATGCAAAAAAAAGATGTATCTTGATTCTTAATTCCTTTTCAAAAGTTTGGTTGACAATTCTCCATCCATATCCTCCGTAATATTTTAGCTCATACACAAAACTTTTATGACATCAATGAGAAACAAAAATAGAATAGAAATGATGTGTATTTCCTCAATATGTACAGATTTGTAAAGATTTTGTTGTTTGTTTGTTTACATCGAAATAATTTTATAAAAAACGTTAAAATTTTAAATAGGCGCGGATTCAGTAGGGGGTCAAGGGGTCGCCGATCCCCCCCTCTTTTGAAAAAAGGGGGGTTCAAGATTATCTTTTGACCCCCCCCCCTTTTCTGGAAACTAACCTATCAGTTTACTGTAATTTGTATTCCAGCAGATACTTTAATATGCGTTAACAAAAAGCCAGCATGAACGATGACAGATTTAATGATCTGGCCCTAATGAACATTCATAGAGACATCTTAGAAACCATAAAACCCACAAAAGTGTTAAAAGAAAAATACCCGTAAAATTGAATTAATTATATTCAATGGGATCAGGGTTCAGTTCATTTATCTTCATTTTTTAACAAAACAAAAAATAATTATAAAATGCATAACAAAGTTGACAGGCTTTCTTTATTCTGGAAGATTAGATTTTATATCTTTATTCAACTTTGCAAACTTTACTTTTAATCCTCATGTTTAGTAGTTTACATATAAATAATTTATTTTTAAAATTTTTGATATGGATGGGCAATATCCAGATTCATTTTACAGGAACTTATAATGTTTTTAGACTTTTAAAAGGTATTTCAACAATATGAGAAGGTTCAAACATTTTAAAACTTTATTCTGTAGAGGTTTACCAAACATGTAAATTTTTTACCCTCGAAGAAAATATAAGTCAAAAACGATAGTTTTTTGGTTTTTAAAACGATCCTTTTTGTTAGTTTTTGCCTTATGTTTTCACCTAGGATAAAATTTTCATGTTTGATAATAGTAAACTTCTACAGAAGACAATTTCAAATCGTTGAACCCGTAAATCGTTTAAAAGTCCAAAAGTATTAAAAGTTTCTCTAAAACGAATCTAGCAATGGCCCATCGCTATATTTAAACCTACAGGGTTAACCACAAAGAATAGGAGTTAAGAACAGATTAAAACTCTTCAATCTTGAAATCGCATCCTTTGGGGTAACTTGTAACTTAATTAGTCACATGAAAAAACACCCTGAACCTTTAGCGGTTAATATATTAATCTTAAACAATATGTAAAATTTTAATTAGAAATTATGTAATGCCAATGGAAATGGAAATATATTTTTTTATAAAGTAATATGTCAGAGTGAAAAAATTAGAAGGTAGAAATATTTTTACATACTGTAAGAGTAATTTTCTGTTTTGATCACTTGAAATACTCACTTCTAATGCTTATTTCTTTTTTAAAAATTTGCGGGGGACTACGCCCCCTCCACCCCCCCCCCTCGCTCACTATGTTTCGCTAAAGACTAAAAAAACTATATTTTTAACTTATCACACATTATAGTTTATTAAGAGAGAAGTTACTTTACAATGTACATGAACGAAGAAAGAAGAGTAACATTGAGTAAGCTAACAGTTAAATAGAGAACATCATACATGATACAAGGAACATTAACAAATAACAATATCAAATAAAAGGTTCTGTCGCCCACCCTCCTGTATCCGCCCCTGCCTGTAAACCTAGTAAATATAAGTAATAAAAAATAAATCCCCAATCCCCGGCCTGATGAATGAGCTCTGCTGTGAATATTTAAACAAGAAATTTATTATTGTCGTATAATTTTAATATAGGGTTTGCAAAATGTATAATTTTAATATAGGGTTCGCAAAATGTATATTGCATAATTTGAAACCTAATGACTTGATTTTATATTCTACTGTGTACACACAGCACATCCTATTTACAAATAGGTCTTGATTGACATACTCTAAATTGTAAATCAGGAAATAAAAAATCGATTATTTTTTAACAAGAATCGATCATTTCAAAGCAAATATTAGATGACTGCCATATAAGCGGTTAACTGGCAGCAAATATTATAAGCGATTAAGTATTGCCAGCAGAGCAAATTTGTGTCGCTTATTTGGCCGTCATCCATTTTTTCGCTCCCAATTTAGAGTGAAGGTTAAAAAGTCCACCCATGGACTAACTGCAGTGCTGGACGCGTCTGTTTTTTCAATTTTTAATTCATTTTTTAGTCTGTAATTTATCAATCTTTAAACTTAAAGAGTTGCCCTTCTTTCTATACTTATTCATTTAGGGGAATAAGTGAGTAAGTGAAAAAGTGAATAAGTGAACAAGTGAGTAAGTGAGTAAGTGAATAAGTGAATAAGTGAACAAGTGAGTAAGTGAATAAGTGAATAAGTGAATAAGTGAATAATATAATTTTAACACAGTTTTNTAAGTGAATAAGTGAATAAGTGAATAAGTGAATAAGTGAATAAGTGAATAAGTGAATAAGTGAATAAGTGAATAAGTGAATAAGTGAATAAGTGAATAAGTGAATAAGTGAATAAGTGAATAAGTGAATAAGTGAATAAGTGAATAAGTGAATAAGTGAATAAGTGAATGATAGGTAGTCGGGTAAAATCTAAGGCCAAGGAGTGACAACCAAGTCTTGACAAATTATGCAATCTTTACTTTATTTATCATTGACAAGTCGAAAGTACTTCAAGAAATCTTTAATATATCTTTTACTAAATACAATGACTCTCTTTGAATTGGGTTTCTCTAAAAATAACTTTTTTAAATTCCTTTCTCTAAAATATCTTTCTGCACGCTTTGTGAAATAAATTGATATTTTAAAAAGATTTCCTTTTTTCTAAAAATGTAAATATCATTTTGTTACATTTCTAAAGTAAAAAAAAATACTTACTAACAAATATTTATGAGAAACGCTAGTTTATTTATTTTTAATTTGAACAAGTCGAAAAAAAAAGTTTTTTCTTCTTTTCTGTGCTGTTGTTGGAATCGAAGTTGAGTAATTGTAACTTAATTTGCAACTTCTGATATTTTATTATTAGATCCGTGTCCTGGGTTCGATTGGGAGATGGTAGAATTATTGCAGTGGACCAGGTGAAAACAAATATTATTTGGAATAGAAAACCGTGAATTCTTGGAATTTGACTTTTTCATATTATCTCTGATTTAATAAAGTCCTTGCAATTTAAAATTTTAAGAAAATAAATTAACGTCTCACGTTTAAACCCTGTTGTTCAAATTTTTACAATGAAATTCATTAAACTTTTAATTATAAGGGGAAAATGTGGGTTTAGAGGAGAGGGGGGGGGATATTTAGAAGATATTCACCATAGGTTTATATATTTAGGAGATATTTTTAAGAGATATTTACCACAGATTTATATATTTAGGAGATATTTACCACAGATTTACATATTTAGAAGATATTCACCATGGGTTTATATATTTAGGAGATATTTTTAGGAGATATTTACCACAGATTTACATATTTAGCAGATATTCACCATAGGTTTATATATTTAGCAGATATTTACCACAGATTTACATATTTAGAAGATATTCACCATAGGTTTATATATTTAGGAGATATTTTTAGGAGATATTTACCACAGATTTACATATTTAGCAGATATTCACCATAGGTTTATATATTTAGCAGATATTCACCATAGGTTTATATATTTAGGGGATATTTACCACAGATTTACATATTTAGAAGATATTTACCATAGGTTTATATATTTAGAAGATATTTACCACAGATTTCCATATTTAGAAGATTTTTACCATTGAATATTTAGGAGATACTTTACACAAGTTTTTTATAAGTAGGAGATATTTACCACATGCTTATATAATAAGGAGATATTCATCATAGGTTTATATATATTGAATATATTTACCATAGGTTTATATTTTTAGAAGATATTCACCATAGGTTTAAATATATAGGTGATATTTACCACAGGTTTATTTATTTAGGAGATATTTACCACAGGTTTATGAGATATTTGCCACAGGTTCATATATTTAGAAGATATTTACAATAGGTTTATATTTTTAGAAAATATTTAAAATAGGTTTATATATTTAGAAGATATTCACAATAGGTTTATATATTTAGAAGATATTCACAAAAGGTTAATATATTTAGAAAATATTTACAATAGGTTTATATATTTAGAAGATATTCACAATTGGTTTATATATTTAGAAAATATTTACAATAGGTTTATATATTTAGGAGATATTTACCACGGAGTCCAGATTTTCTGTAAGGAATGTTCAAAATGTTTGGAGTTTAAAGGTAATAGTATTTTCATCAAGTTTTCTTCGATTATTAGATCAAAGAAATTTCTTAATTTATAAAGCTTCCGGGTTTTCTTGGAAATATACAGGGTGTCCCAAAAAAACGATCTTTAAGACATTTTATAAAAGTCGTACATTTGTTTTAATCTATAGAACATTTCCGATCCATTAATATCAATAAGAGGTATGTAGCACTAAAGATAAGGAAGCATCTTTAACCGTATGATGTTTGCCATTTCGGCATGGTTGAGTTCATGAATTGATTTATTTTCGAATTCAAAAATAGTTCGGAATTCATTATGGTCTAAAAAAATTGAGATCTTCTAAACAAATCTTAAAAATGGTAGCAATTCCAATACACTGTGGTGGTAGCAGGACGGCCCACCATGCCATATTTCTAATCACAATTTAACATGAGATATCTGGACAATGGACATTAAGTTTGATTGTGGATTTGTAAGCAGAAGAGCCTAAAGAGGGCATGTCTAAATCCATTGGACTTTTTTTGGGTTCTTGAAATCCAAAGTATACAAACCAAAACCAAGTGATTTAAACGAGTTAAAACTGTGCTAGAGGAGACTTTGATATGACCAGGAGAACATGCAGTAGTTATACATGTATGACATAGAGCAAAGAACTGAATTGACAACCACGGAGGGCATTTTGAATTCTATTTCAGCTTATAATCATGGCTTTATCTGTAAGCATCTTCTCTTTGTATACAGAGCTGAAAACTTTAGAATTGTGGATATTGAGATGCTTGATCTCCTCTTTTTCTTAATCTCCAGAGCTGAAAACTTTGGGATGATATATCCCTAATCCCGACTACTTATTCTGAGTATTCAATGGACACACTTTGAATTTTCTTAAACCGTTCTCTCTTGGATAAAGTAGAGAAAAATCAAAAATCGGTTTTTAAAATTAGAGATTTCCTCCCGGTTCTGTATATTATTCTTAATATACGCGACTCTGATTGGTTGAATTTTATACACTTTCTAGGATACAAGGAAAAGATTAGGTTAGTCTCGATATTAAGAAAAAAGAGGATCAAGCAATAATCTCGATATCCACCATTCTAAAGTGCTCTGAGCAGAAATCTTGAGAATGGTGGATATCGGGATTAAGGCTTAATCCACTCTTTTTCTTAATCTGCAGATTAAATACTGCTTGTTCTCCACTCATTTTTAATCTCCAGATTAATTATCCGATCAGGATTAAAGATATCCCATTCAAAAGTTCCCATCTCAGCTCAGATTAAGTAATTCTCCACTTGTCATTAATCTCCAATTTAATTGACAGATCGGGATTAAGGGTATCCCATTTAAAAGAATTAATAGATTTAATAGAAAAACAGAAAAAAATGTTTGCGGATTTTATCATGTTTTTTGAGCATTGTCAAAGCATTACGTCCCTTGGGACAATTAATTGTAAACTAACAACCCGCTCTGCAAAGTTTTCGTAAACAAATTCGCGCATTTTCATCCCAGAATACGATAAATTTGTGTGCAACAACTTTTTCAGGGAATTAAAATTTTACCACGGGTTCCCTCGACCAATTTTGACAACAAAACATCCCTTGCTGCGCTCTGGGTGTTTTGTAAGCAAAATTGGTCTTGGGAACCCTTGGTAAAGTAAAATTCCCTTAACTTTTTTGCAAAGTAGTAGTAACTAAGGAATTGAGTCTTTGGAACAAAATCAAATATTTAAACCTCAATAGCTTTAGAACTCGATGTTCTAAACCTTTGATATTTCAAACTCAGATTATTTGAGCTAACAGAATTCATAGTTTGAAATGTCTAAGGTCTGCAACATTTAGTTCCAAATATATAGTGATTAGAAAATCAGAGTTTGTGGCAAAGACTCAATTCCTTTACACCGGGTTTAAAAAATAGAAATAGAAAATTTGAAATTAATTAAAATTTGTATTGGCTAATGAAAATTAGCACTAAGTAAATAAACTGAATCATACATAGTTCAAAATTGATAAAATTGATCATAAACTAAATATAAAGTTTGTTTGTTACATGTGAATAAAGTAATTTAACTTTTTATTATTATTGTTCAATTACGGCTCAATTAGTTTCATAGAATTTTGAAAATAAAATTATACTTTATTTCATGCAATCATAAACAATTATTTATTCAACAACAAAATGAATTGCTAGAAAAGTGAATTCAAGGAAATGTCAGATTTAAAATTCTATAAATATATATCTGGGTTTTCAAAGTTCATTTTTTGTATTCAGTAATCAGTACTTTTTCTTTTAGCATACGCAAACAAAAAGTTCAAAAGAGAATAAGTGAAATATTTGATTGGTCGAATAAAGACCGAAAGATGTTAACCCTATCTCTGCTGGGGTATAGAAAACCAGGATATGCTGGGGGGCCCCTCTTAATCCCATGTTTGATGTCCAAATATGACAAATGATACATCATTGGAAAGCTCTTGTGCTCTACTTTTAGAATCTGCAAAAAAATTTGCAATTTGCAAAAATTTTATTTTTATCGCAAAATCCAGTTATATAGTAAAAAAGTTTGCAAAAAAATTTGTCCAAAAAATGAAAAATTATACATTTTTGAAAAGCCATTTTAAATATGCAAAAATTTGTGCAAAATTTTAAATAACTTGATTTTTAATAAAGAAAAACTAAAAATGTGCAAATTTCCTTTGACAGGTTGTTTGCAAAAAAATTGCAATTTTTTTTCGAAAAACTTGTGCAATTCGTTTCCTTATGTCAAAGGCTTTCTAAAAAGCTAAATTTCATCAAAATCTGACAAGTGGAAGTGGGTCAAAACAAAGATTTAGTTTGTTACAGGAAAAAGCAGTCATTCTAGCAGTGTGCCTGAGGACTCAGGCAGTTAGTATTAAAGCCTGGTTTTAGGCCTAAAAAGTCAAAAAAGTCAGAAAATTTCAACAGCCTCAGACCAATACTTTTGAGTTATGTAAAAAAAACTACAGGGGGGGTCAAATTGACCCCCCCCCCAGCAGGAATAGGGTTAAGTACAAAAAAAGAACTGTTCCATCTTTATGCAATTCACGAAGACTTGGAAAACATCCAGAGCGTGGCGAGGGATGTTTGTAGGAACAATTGGTTCATGAAACCTGTGGTTAAGAATAAAATTTAATTTATATTTAAGCAATTGCATTCTTTATCTTCAAGATGAAAATACTGTTTTCACGAAAATTGACATGTCAATTAACAACATCCTGCTGTTGGGAGAGTCATAGATAGGTAACGTTATAGGTCAAAACTAAAAGGCGGTAAAATACATTGATAACCTCACAATTTTTCTTTGAATATATAACTATGAATAACAATAGAGGTGCTCGATTTATCCCATATTTAAGGCAAGCTCATTGCTTTTCCTCTTAACCTTAAATGAATGCTTTTACCAGAAGAGCCCAATCATGGCAGATTAAAGACCTGTAGTTGGATATCTTTAAAACAAAATAATCAGTGAACAAACATTTCCCCCGATCACTTAAAATAAATGTTCCTTTCCCTTTGAATTCTGATGTTGTAGAACTTTCATATTTAAAGTGCATAAAGATTAAAATACACATTCAGATTGCAAAGATATACAATAATAAAATTTGAGTTTTTGACAAGTGTTCTATTCATTTTATAAAAAATTCTAGATAAAGAAAGTTTTATTAATTTTCCGACTAGAATTAATAGAATTAATAGAATTAATAGAATTAATAGAATTAATAGAATTAATAGAATTAATAGAATTAATAGAATTAATAGAATTAATAGAATTAATATCCCTTCTATAGAATTATTATGACTATCCTGACTAACTTTACACCAGGTAATTTCGTGGTAAAAAGAATAAATTGACTGAAACTTTTTCTGAACTTATTAGAATAATTTTTGAAAGTCATCAGTTGATGATTTAAACGAAAACCATGCATTTTTCATAATTTGCATTCCTTCGGTATTTACATAATATTAATGCGTAATAAACTAGAGATCAAAACTTTTAGATGCTTATGTTTAAAAGTTTTGAACTTTATTTTATTAAAAATCAGTATTAAATATCGAAATTATCAAAAATGCAAAGATTTCCTTTAAATGATTTACTGATGACCTTTAAAAATTATTCTAATATGTTCAGAAGAAGTTTTAGTCAATTTATTTTACGTATTAAACTAATTCTCTAGAATATTCCGGGGTGGTCATTTGATTTATTTCAGTAATACTGCTTAATATAATGGTTTAATCATTGAAAAATAAATACACATTAGAGATAATTTTATATAAATAAAGAAGTTAATCTTGAAACCATGATTTCGATATTCAATACCTCCTTTCTACTGTCCTATTCTAGTAAAAGAATTTAGGGTTTATTTGAGCATTCAAAAACATTCCCTAGGGTCCCACAACAAATTTGGACCTGATTGGTTCAGCCGTTTTGACGTTTTTTGGAGACAAACAAACAGACAAACACCCACCCGGCCAGACAATGAAAGTGTATAGTTTATTGAACTAAAAAAACTATAAAAATTTAAAGAATTAGGTTTAGTTTTAAAAAATGTATCTTTAAGCGGTTTAAAGTAAAGTATTTAAAGGTTGGTGGGGGAGGGGGATAGAATAATATCCTCCCTCCCCTCTCTCCTCTATACCGTCCTATTCTAGTAAAAAGAATCTGAAGTTTACATATGGTTTAATCCCATCTAATATTTCAACCCAAGGGATTCTACAATAAACCTTACTAGCTTTAGTTTAAAGAAGAGGAATTTTTGTTTAATTTGAATGGAAAATTCACAAAAATTAAACAGAGTTTTTAATGTGCATTTTTTTCAACCTCAAAGTAGCCCAGAATAAAATACAGTGATAATCAGAAAAGTGTGGAATAGGAAGACGACATAATATCAATACTTGAGTGTAGATTTATTTGTAACTTATTGAATCACTTCTTAAGTTAAATGGGTCTGTTTAAATGCACTATTTAAAGTCATAACTTGTGCCTTTCAATCGTCTTCCTTTTCCA